TAATAATAATAATAATAATAATAATAATAATAATAATAATAATAATAATAATAATACAAGGGAAAAAGATGAATAAACAACTACTTACTCAGATAACGGATGGACAAATAGAAATATTGAAATAATATGTAACATCAGTCCCTGAGGCCAGAACTAACCCACCAGCTCACAAAATCACCAACGAACAGTTCACTAGCTCACAAACTCACCAGCTCACAAAATCACCAACGAACAGTTCACTAGCTCACAAACTCACTAGCTAAGAAAGTCACCAGCTCATCAGTTAACAAACTCTTAAATTATCTAAAGGTTGAAGGTAGCCGGCTGGCGCGAAGGAAATTCCACCTGCAAGGTCTTCCCCACCATCACGGGGATTTCAATTTTCCGGTTTATTTTTCTTTCTTTCACCGAAGTTCTTAATTTTTCGGTCTTTGGAAAGAGTCTTTGAGCTAGTTATGACTTCTAGGTTTCAGGGTACATATGTGTGTGATTTTTCTTTCATTATTTTTATTACAATTCAGCGGTAGAAGGTTCGTTGTTTACATCAATAAGCACGAATCGTTGGCGATCCTGAAAGTTATCGTATCGGGTTGCGAGTGATTTTCTGATTGACCGTGTGACCGCACAGTGAAAGGTTGAAGCTCGGGGTGGTTCTCAACAAGGTCCTCCCCGACATAGCACTAACCCTTCAAGGGCAATGCCCAGGCCCTTCTCAAGATGCCCAGGGACTCGTCTGGTTTACAATTCAGACAGTCAGCTAGGATACGCCTCCAAGTCCTTCGTGTCTTTCCCTTGACCTCCAACCACCTTGAACTGGGCCAAACAAAACACGCCGCTCTCCACACTGGACTGTGTATGATCGCTTCTGTAACATGGAACTTTGGTTAACATTTTTAACTTCGTGTTATGACAGATACAATTTACTGTAAATAATGATATCACGTACAAAATATTGTTCACTAAAAATACCTCCAGGTATTATTTGTCTGAAATTGTTATTACGGTTAAAACAGATTTCCTCGTGTCTAAACTCTGCAGTCTAGATTCCTCCCATTATCTGATCTTTTAAATCTGGCATTATTATCACCAGAGGATGAATATCTAATCTCCGAAATTTGCATTACTGCTACAATAACAATAATTCACCCAGCAAGTATTCCTGAGACGAGATAAAAAAAACCCATGGAACGCAATATCGGACACCCATCTACTCTACCTGGATTTGCCGTGTGAATGGAAGTTTGTCTATATCCACAAGACATGGTGTACAGGCGAGAGAATCAAGGAAGATATTTGTCTTTCTCCTCTCTCTCTCTCTCTACCTCCCCCTAGAGATGGTTTTAATTGGTTTAGGTTTGGTTTAGTTAGGTAAATTGAGGTCTGGTTTAGTTTGGTTTATTTTGATTAAGTAGGTTTGGTTAGGTTAAGTTTGGATTGGTTAGATAGATGAAGTCACATCAAGTTGGGTTATGTTTGTTCAGGATTGGTTAAGTTAGTTTAGATTTGGTTAGGTTAGGTTAGTTTGAGTACCGCCTCGTCCGTGGAACCTTTTCAACATTGTACATCTGTTTTTATTTCCTGAAACATTAACATAATTTTATCGTGTCAGGATACTTTCGCTATAAGAACTAAGAGAGAGAGAGAGAGAGAGAGAGAGAGAGAGAGAGAGAGAGAGAGGCACCTCCAGACGTCCTCCTCACCACCCGCCCTCGTGAAGGTCATAAAGGGTGACGAACTCAACATTCCCTCCACTTGGTTGTTCGCTGGACAGTGTTTACCTTCGACTAGCAGAAGTGAAACACGGTGCATTGGTCGCAGTAGCTGATTGCGCGCGCTCTGATTGGTAGCTCTCCTTGTCAATCTGCCCCAAGGCATTCTGATAGGTGGCCTTCCTTGTTGATTACCCAACCAGACGTCTCGTGCCGTCTGGTCCGGTTACTGAACCTGTGTCGGTAAGATGGCGGACAAAGTCAAGGCTGCTAGTAGACTCCAAGGGCTGAGTTTCCTTCCCTTAAGTCCTTTGCCTGTTATATTTGTGGGGTGATCTTATTAATTAACTGAGTAGATCTTCTTCAAACTCTAATGGAGGTATATGGTCTTGTATCGTATTTCTATATTTACTTCACCTCTGACATACAGTGAGTACATCCTCTTCACTCTTCACTCACTAAGAACAAAACTGAATTCTTGGTGATTATATCCATTAACGCTCTTGAGTACGATAATTTAATCTAATGGGTAGAGTGTAATTGTACTCAAGGTGGATTAGCCTTCGTTTCAAAGTGCTAAGACATTGTACGCAATGGATTAAGTATTGTACTCGAGGGGTTAAGTCGTCGTACTCATGGGTAAAGGTATTATACGAATTTTGGCGGATTCATAGTACTCAGGGGAATGGCAGCGTACTCAAGAGGCTGATGAATCAATTTCCCTGACACTTTCACCAAGCAGCTTAGCACAAAATCTATAAGACCTTTATGGATAAGAGCTTAGGTTTGGCTAGGTTAGTGTTAAGTTAGGTTAGGGTTAGGTCAGGTCAAGTTAGGCCGTTAGGTTAGGTTAGCTTTAAGGTCATCAATCACCTGGTGAACCACATTTTTACACATCAACAGTAAACTATTCTTTCTTTTTTCCCCAACGAAGGTCAGACGTAACCTAAAAACCAAAGAATATATTCATCCGGCAGTGTTCTCACCATTTAACAACACACAGACGAAAAAACTCTTCAGATTTGTGCAATAGGGCGGCCATGGGAGTCTAAAACCATCGAATATATATCTCTCCGGGTTAGTGTCTTAGTGGCTCCTCTTGAAGTAATGCAACACTCAGCCAGGAATGAGTAAGGCGTCTTCGCGGTAAGATACTGACGGCAGTCTTCGAGGGCTTTTTTTTCTTCATCAGATGGAGTGAAGAAATAAGTAAAGGTCTTGAAGTCTCTTTTTTTTTTAGTAAGGTTCACAGGGCCAAGGTCTGTTTCAGGGTCGTCACTGTACATGGTGACCGGTTCTTACAAGGTTGCTTAGGCCACGGTCGACCAAATGTACCTTCGTATGATAGTCTGCTACCTATTATTATTAACGTTTAATAACAACACGACCCATCTTAATGTTCTCATGGATAGCTCTTAGCAATGATGAATTCCTCTGGTAAATCAGCCAGTCAGTCAGTCAATCAGCCAGTCAATTAGTGAGTGAGTCAGTCAGTCACTAATACTCTTCAGGTAGCCAACACAAAATACCAACACAGCCAAAGAACTTAATGCGTGAGGACACAGACACAGACACACGGGGTAATGGGAGGATCATGTGTCATTGTGTCAACCATTATTAGTCAGGTGGTCAGAAGAGGGTTCACACGTGGTGGTTAGTGTCCCTTCTAATACACACATATTTAGCGACCAGCTGATGACGGTGATGATGATGATGAAAATAGTAATAATAGTGACCATAATAATAATAGTTAATAGAAGTGGTAGTAGTAGTAGTAGTGCTCTAAGGTATGGTCGGCCAGTAGAAGGTTTGCCCTCCCAATGCGTGTGTGGCTCTTCCTATGACGTCGATCACGCCATGGTGTGCAAGAAAGGGGGCTTCATATGCATGAGGCATGACGAAGTAAGGGATCTCACTGCAAATATGTTGAAGGAAATCTGCCGTGATGTCAGGGTCGAACCGACCCTTCTTCCATTCGACGGTGAGAATTTCCAACATAGGACTTCAAACACATCCAACGAAGCCCGTGTTGACGTCAGTGTTCGAGGATGCTGGACGCGGGGACAGCGAGCCTTCTTCGACATCAAGATTTTTTATCCTATGGCCGCATGTCACCGTAACTTAGCTCTCAATGCTGCACACAGGAGGAACGAGAACGACAAGATAAGGGGATACGGGGAGAGAATTCGGAACGTTGATCAAGGCAGCTTCACTCTAGTGTTCACAACCTCTGGTGGGATGGGACCAAGTGCAAGATGCTTCTACACCAGACTGGCGGAGGTGCTATCCGAACAGAAGCAGCAGCCCAGAAGTTATGTTACAGCCTGTCGACTGTCCTTTTCTCTCCTTAGGTCGGCTTTGTATGTGTGTGTAGCTGTTAGTTCTAAATCTGCAAAATTTCAAAATTACAAAATAATAAATAAAATATCAAGACAAAAAGAAATTCTGACAAAAACGTGAAAGAAAAATTCAAGAAATCTAAGGACAAAATATTAGGAGGAAAGTATTAATAAAAAGTAAGATGAGGAAATAAACACGTAATAAAATATTCCCATTAAGTTTGTGACGCTTGAGAGACAAATACACTAAAAAAATGAAAAATAAAAATTGTTTACGAACTCCAAACACGAACAATTTTTCCGCAAGAATTAACTTTATAAGGTCTTGACTGTAGCATATATTGTCCCGTCAAGCGTCCGTTAATCACTAAAGTTTATTAAACAATGTTTCTTATTTATATACGCTTTCCAGTCATGTATTAATAAATTTAAAAACTGTGGATGACCTGACAGTCGTATATTGAAATGGCTGAAGCTATATTTTCAGCTATAAATTCAATAAATGTCAGCGATTTAGCGACAGGGAGCTAAGTTAACAGTGGACGAGCTCTCCCTGACCTCGTGGAAACCTGAAGAAGTATTTTAAATTTTCCACCAACACTGGCGATAAGAAAAGGCGTTTAACTGTCTCTCTGAAGCAAAGACAACATATAATAGCAGTAAATAGGGAGATGGCTATTACACCGAGGCACTAGATGAGGCTTTTCTCTTATTGCTAGTTAGGGGAACACACACACACACACACACACACACACACACACACACACACACACACACACACACACACACACACACACAGACGCTGAACAGTTAAGACCTTCACCAGCTACAAGTAATACCATCTATGAACATAAATCTCAATAAAAAAACAAAGTCCATCTGAGTTAAATAACACACATAAACACATATCCGTGACGTGTCCCTAAAACTCATTAATAAAAGTGGTTTGTTT